CTCCAAACTCTGCACTCCGACAGGCGCCGCCTGGCCGGGCCCCTTGCCCACCACCTTCCTCCCCTCCCTGTCTCCCCTGGGCCCCTCCTGTCACCTGTCTCTCCACTGCTCCCTGAAAACTCAGTGCCCGTGGCCATGTGGTCCTTAGGCTGCTGGAGCCAGCGAACCTTCTGGGCCTGCGTCTGGGGGAGGCCTGGGTGCGCTCTCGCTGGCCTCGGGCGTGCAGCCCTGCCGTGTGTGCAGGCAGGGCCTTGGACTCTGTGCTGGCACGGGCCTCAGGAGCAGGTCCTCCCCCGGGAGGAGCCCCCTGCCCTTTCCCACCGGCACCCCCGCGGCCCCTCCCCGCAGTGCACTGCTCCCCTGGCCACCACTACAACACCAGCACCCACCGGTGTATCCGCTGCCCCGTGGGCACCTACCAGCCCGAGTTCGGCCAGAACCACTGCATCACCTGTCCTGGCAACACCAGCACCGACTTCGACGGCTCCACCAACGTCACACACTGCAAAAGTAGGTGTTGCTCCCTGCAGCGGGGGGCTGGGGTGGGAGGGGCCGTGAGGACACCGCTGACCCCGCCTGCGCAGTCGCCTTTGGGACGCTCTTGGGAGCCCCCATGGTCTTGAGCAGTGTGGGTGTACCGTCGTCATCAGCGCCTGTTGCTCGCCACACGCAACCTGAGCCTTGGCCCGAGCCGGGTCCTGTCGTTCCTGGGCCCCGGGAGAGGGAGGCCAAGCGCCGGCCAGGGCCAGCAGGCAGAGGCTTCCAGGGGGGGAGGGCAGCAGCCCAGACGGACGCTGAAGCGTGAGAGGCTGTGTGAGCCGGGAGAAACGCGGCACCTGAGAGAACGGGGCGCGGGCCCCCCCCCCACAGCGCGACAGGGCAGGCTCCTCGGACCTGGGTGTTTTGACCTTACTTTCCTGAGTCCCTCGGGCCCGGTTTCCAGGTGTTCACCTTTTCCTGCCACTCTTCGGTCAGCTCCGCCTCCCCAGGGCTGATGGTGTGCCAGGAGCGGCCTAAAAGCCGAGACTGTGAGATCAGGGCTCGGGCCGCAAGGGGCGCTCGGCCCCCTGCCCCTGGCTGGCAGACGTGCAAGCCCAGAGGAGGGCTAGTGTCCTCACGGGTAAAAGCAGGGAACCCAGCTGGGGCGGAAGCTTCTGGAACACCAGGCGGGTGTGACGTGTTCCCCAGAAGTTTCGGAGGGAGAGGATATTTGGGGGAAAGTCACGGGGACGTGAGGTAGTTAAGCCTTTCCATTCAGGCTCCTTGCAAAGCTCAGGTGATGTCCCTTAGAGTTTAGAGCTAGGAACAGTTTGGCTCAGAACAGTCACGTTTGGCTTCAGGGAAAGAAAGGAGGGTGTGGGCTCACCCTCCCTTGCGGATGCCTGCCTGTCCCTGCTGCCTGCCTGTCCCTGAGCCGCCCGCCCCGGCCCCTCAGCCCCTCGACTGAGAGCGGCCAGGGAAGACTGTGCAAGGGGGGCTTCGCTCCAGCACCCCCACCTGTGGCTGGGCTGAGTTCAGTGAGGAGCAGCAGGGCCGGCGGGGGAGGGGACAGTCTATGGGCGTGCTGAGAAGCCTGCTGGACCCCGGCACGGCCAGCCAGAGAGCGGTGGCGTGGGCTCGCGCTGGGCGGGGCAGCCCAGGGGGGCATTGCTGGAGCTGGGCCTCAGGGAACAACGGGCCTGACCGGGGACCTGCCCGTCCTTGGGAAGGGCAGCCCGGGGCCTGGCCAGCTGGCACAGGAGGGCCAAGGAAGGGACAGCAGCACCTGCTAGCCCCCCTGGGCCTCCAGCCCGGCTGGCCGGAGAATCTGACCAGGGCTGGGGCCACACTGCCCACAGACCAGCACTGCGGCGGCGAGCTTGGCGACTACACGGGCTACATCGAGTCCCCCAACTACCCCGGCGACTACCCGGCCAATGCCGAGTGCGTGTGGCACATCTCGCCACCCCCCAAGCGCAGGATCCTCATCGTGGTCCCCGAGATCTTCCTGCCCATCGAGGACGAGTGCGGCGACGCCCTGGTCATGAGGAAGAGCGGTGCGTGCCGGGCTCGGGCGGCCGGCGGGGCCAGGCCAGGACCGCTGCCCGGCCCAGGGGAGGCAGTCACTCCGCGTCCAGCTGCCGAGGCTGCCTGTGTGACCTGGGCTTTACCAAGCTCGTGGAAAGGCCCAGAAAGCTGACACGTGCCTGAAGCGTGCGACCCAGGACCGGACCAGGTCCCCTCTCAGCTCTGGCCCGAGTCAGTCCTCACCCCTCGTCACCCCTGCTGGGCTGCAGTGCCCATTCTCCCGCTTCCTGTCCACCACGCCTGCTGGGCTGCAGTGCCCATTCTCCCGCTTCCTGTCCACCACGCCTGCTGGGCTGCAGTGCCCATTCTCCCCGCTTCCTGTCCACCACCCCTGCTGGGCTGCAGTGCCCATTCTCCCGCTTCCTGTCCACCACCCGAGTGGGGCCCCGGGCACTGTGCTCCTCAACAGGCCTCCCAGACTGTGCGTGCGCGC